CCATTTTTCAAGAGGAAAGACGTTAAGCCCAACCATGACTGTGCTTTGGGTTTTTCCCTACGTCACAGGCTATGGAAATTCTGGTGAACCCAAACCATTTCCCTTTCGAGGCTACACAGTGCCCAAGCAGGGGCCCAGTGCCCGCCGCCCGTGCCTACGGGGACCCTGTGGGATCCCCGGCACCCGGGCCTCCTCCTGCAGGCGGTCCCCCGTCTGACTCCCGAGGGATGGCCAAGACCGGGGCGGAGTGCCCGCCTCCCTCACTGCCTTCCCGCATGAGTTTCCCTGCATTCGTGCGGCTCTCCTCCCTTCGTCCCTAGGTGCTCTCTCAGCTCTGCAGCCGGTGAGCTGATATCCCGAGTCCCAGGCCCCTCACCAGCCGGACATGCTGCACCTGGACCTCATAAAAACCACCCGTTTGCGGGTCCCCAGCACAGGGCCAGCCACAGCCGGGAAGGTGCCAATCCGCCTTGGACCCGGGCGGAGAGGAGCACAGGCAGCCTGGCTGTGACTCCCATGCCCCGCAGTGATGCCCAGGCTCAGAGGACGGGAGCGGGAGGTGGGGAGGTGTCAAACCTCAATGAGTCTCGGGAGGAATCAGGAGGAAGGCCTGCAGAGGCAGGTCCCAATGGACCCCTTGCAAAGAGCAAACACTGAGTGCTGCTCACTAAGCGCGAGAACCGGACGAGCCCAGACCGCCAGCCGAGCCGCCATCCCACAGCTGGGACAGGGCACTGCCCCCTTCCCTCAGGGGCACGGGCGGCGGCCCTGAGCAGCCTCATCCCGGAACGGACACGGTTTATTTCTAACTTCAGCCCTGCAAGTATCTGAGGAGCTGCGGACGGCCCCTCCCGGGGCTGGCATGGACTCCAGGAGGTGGCTGGCGGGGAGACGGCCCGGCAGACAGCGGAGGGGAGGGCAGGGGAACGGCCTCCCGGGCCAGTGTCTCACCCGGGCAGCCTCTGCAAGACGTCACAGCAGAGTGCGGGTCTGTGCTCTCAGCAGAGAGCAGAGAGAGCACAGTGCCTGCCCGTCAGCGGAGAGCGCTCGGCGGTCCCAGCCGAGAGAGAGATGCCCACTTCAGAAGGAGCCTGGAGGGCGTGAGGAGGAGCACAGGCCTGTGGCCACACGGCCTACGGCAGGAGACTCTCTGGTCTCCATCTGTGAAATGGGTCTAGTCCAGTAGTCCCCAGGGGGGCAATTGGAAAATGAGTTATTAACAGTGAACCTTTTGCATTGCTTATGTCCTAGGGGCCTCATATACAGTGTATAAATACATATTGGGACATATGTGTGCATGTCAGTTCTCTATTATGTTTTGAAACTTTAATTGCTATGTTTTCATATCACTTCATTTTTTTTTTTTAAAAAACCATTTCATAGTGATTCCTTCCTCAGGACCTCCACTGTCCTTTCGTTCTTTTATTTTCCTCTCTCGTGGCTGCCACGTTCTTTGGAAGCTTGTTTAGACCAAGCTAATGGCTCTTTAGGCTTCCTCCACGCGAACAGGAGTTCGCTGTTTGAACGATAAGAATTCCATGTCACGGGGTTGGCGGGGGCATCGGGATGTCAGAGCTGCCCGGGGGGGGCGTGGCCCAGTCACAGGGCCATCTCCCGGATTCAGTGAGGACACTGGGTGACACCGTGTGTATGATACATCACGGTGTGCTATAGAAGTGTTGTTTAATATTACTCCTCACCGACGCTCTCCTTCTTGCACAGGGGGTGGAGTCACACCCTACTGCCCCGCTTCCCCCCTGAGTCGGGGCCCTGACCTCGCAGGACCGTCTCCCCCGCTGCTGGACCCTGAGCTTCTCAGAACCCATCCTCCCAGCAGCCAGCCCCGGGCGCGGGGCGGAGGAGACCCCAATCAGGCCGCCCTGGCCCAGGGCTCTGGCCTTGGGGGGGGGGGGCGGGGGGGAGAGGGGATGCTGCCTGTGTTCAGGACGTTGAGCCTTATCCCTGGCCTCCACCCATGAGATGCCAGGAAACCCCCCCTCCCCCAAGTTATGACAATAAACATGTCTGCAAACACTGCCACATGCCCCTGGAGGCCCAGCACTGAAGCCGAGAAGGGACGTCCTGTGTCCACGGGGCGCACAGTCAGCTCAGTGTCAGCGAGCACTGTGCCCGCTGAGGCTGCGGTGGCGACCACCTGCTGGCTCACAGCCTCGGCTCCTTCCTTCCCTCTCCCCTCCAGCGCGGTGGCTCTCCGCCTTCCTAATGCCACGACCCGTTCGTACAGCTCCTCCTGCTGTGGTGACCCACAGCCGTAAAATCTTTTTGTGGCTACTTCACAACGGCAATGGTCTTAGGCGACCCACAGGTTGAGAACCGCCGCTGTAGAGCCTAAGACCATCAGAAAATGTGAACACTTAAGACCATTGGAAAACACAGACATTTACATTACGATTCATAGCAGGAGCAACCTTACAGTGGTGAAGCAGCAACGAAAGTAATGTTATGGTTTCATAGCACCACATGAGGAGCTGTGTGAAAGGACCGCGGCATTGGGAAGGTGGAGAACTTCACTGCTCCACCCGGCGTCATGGCAAGAGGTCCCACCTCCCCACTGCCTTCCGTTTCAGGATGTGGGAGCCGCAGGGCTGAGGTTTTGTCCTGTTCCAAAGGGGCCCTCCCTCCGCCCAGAGCCTGGGGCCTTTTCCTCCAAGGGCGGCTGATGGGAGGACACAGAGAGGACCGTCCCCAAGGAAGTGCTCTGCGTGGGAGGATCCTGTACCAGCAACGCCTCCCCCGAGTCCCTGTGGGCACCCTCAGGTGGGGAAGGCTGCTGCAGGGCCGGTGGGCACGGCGCTGGCTGCTGAGGGTGGCCGGGCCCACATCAGAGGCTGGTGGCTACCCGCCCTCCTCTGTGTGCAGGAGCAGCACAGAGCGAACAAGAGCAGCCCTGTCCCCGCTCACTGTGCTCACCTCCTCAGACCCAGGCCCTCTCTGAGGCTCCCTAAGTCCAGCCAGCCTCGGGAGTTGGCCCTCGGACCACCTGGAAACAGGGGCCAGCACGCCAGCCCGCCACTGCCAACTGGGCAACGTCTCGGTGCCCTCTGCCCAAGAGTGCGCCCTCTCTCTCTCTCTCTCTCTCTCTCTCTCTCTCTCTCTCTCTCTCTCTCTGATGCATTTCCTGCACGCAGAAACGGGTGTCCGAAGAAGAGAGCTCTGGAAATGCATCTTGCGCTTAGCGTCCCCACAACAACTCTCCTGGGTGCATTAGGTCACAAGATGCCACAGAGAAAGAACCCACTCAGTGGCCCGGGTTCTCTCCCCCCCTCCTCCATCCCTCCGCTGCCTTCTTCACCACACGGCTGCGTCCACTCGCCCTCCTGAGTCGCAGAAGTACAAGGCGGGGGGAAGTAGGTGCGCGTCGAACGTAACACAATAACTAGTTCGTATCCACGCAAGAGTACACTCTGCATTTCGTGGTACACCTGCCTTGGGCCCCCCGCACCTGTGTGTGGTGGAAACACTGCCACACGGGACAGGACGGACCTGTAGGATGATGACATGAGGATCCAGGGCCTTGGGCAGCGTTTTCTGCCCGGGACCTCTCAGGTCTGGGAACGAATCCCCCGGCGAGGTCCGACGTGGCCCGCCGGGGCCTGAATGCCACGTGAAGCCCCACCACCACTTCAGAGCGAGGCTCCCGAAGTCAGGGAGGAGGCAGGCACTGAGCACAGCAGAGGCGGCTCTGTCCGGCACCCTGCACGCACGCCCCACACGCACCACCCCTCCAGCGCGCTGGGACCCGGCACCTTCATCGCGGCCGCCCCAGAGGCAGACACCCCGTTCCCTGCTCCGGTGAAAACGCCGTCAGTGCTAACACACAGGGCGAGCCCTAAAGGGACACACACACTCAGAACCGTTATAAAGGCCGTGTCTGTAAAAACACGTTTCTTTTTCACACGGAGCCCTCAGCGGTGACCGAGCGGTCACTCAGCGGCTGAGCTGTGTGTCCATTTCTCCGGGACACCCTCGACCACGCAGAGCAAAACGGGCCGGGTCGCGGACAGCCCTCGGGGCAGAGTCAGACACCCTGGGTTTGAACCCAAAGGGAGCCCCTTGAAGTGGTGACCCTGAGTTAGCCAGGACACGTCTAAGCCTCGGTTTGCTCCCCCGTCCAATGCGGACCAGCGCCCTCCGCCCGGCTGCTGGGGGGGCGTGGGGCGCGGGTCACGGGAGGAGAAGGGCTTTGCAAAAAGGGAGGCTGCAGAGCGAGTGTGCTGTCTCCCACCCCCGCGCCAGATCCTGCAACACGCCAAGAAATTACCCTCCCTCTGTCCCGAGATTTTATACGCTCCTTCCTGAATATAGATGGGCTATGATATCATAATTGAAACCAACTTTACTTTGCAAAGCTGCATCCGACGCAGCGTGGGCGAGGGAGGGCCAAGGCTCGTCCTGCATCTGAGAGCACATTCTGTCTGACAGCCCTGCCCCGAGACACTAACGAGGGGAGCGCGGCCCTCCGTGTGAGGGAAGATGAGAAGCAGCAGCGAGGGGGAGGGGAGGGACAGAGGAGGGGCGTGGGGTGGATTGGGGGGCGAAGGCCAGATGGCTAAGCAGCTAGCTCCCTCAGCGAGGGCAGACGGCTCGGACATATGCCGCCGCCTGGCCACTAGCTGCCACTCTCTCTCCACGCAAACGCAGCGCAGCCCTGTCTCCCGGACCATAAACGCCAGGGATGAACTCTGACACATGTGTGCAAGCAAGCCCCCCTCCCACCGCGCCCTCACGCCTGGAAAACGGCATCAAACACCCCGTCTTCAAAGCGAGCGGCCCGCGAATATACGGCCAGTTTTACAGCCTCCGTCCTCAGCCCAGAGCCATCCGGGGACACGTTTTTCCCCGCCCATGGCCCGGGGACCCCTCCGCGGCCTTCCTTCCCGGAAGGATCTTGGCGGGGAAACGAGGGGCCCGAGCTCCCCCTGGGCCTCCGCAAGGGATGGGGAATCCGGGGTGGGGGTGGGGGGCGGGAGCCAGCTTACCTGGAGCCGTTCACCTGGTTCGGGTTGCATTCCATCTTGATGGTGACCCGGGCCGGGGGTTGCGACAGCCAGTCCTGCGGGGGCACGCGCGGGCTCATCTTGGAGGTCTGCCCATAGTCGCCGGAGGAGGAGGCGGTCATGTCCGCCTTGGCCAGGTGCGGCGTCCCGTAGGCGCACTCGAACAGCGACTGGTCCTCGCTCACCACCGACAGCGCTTCCTGCAGCCAGAGAGACACGGTCAGCCCCGGGGGCCAGGCCCGCTTCCGACGGCGGCGGCTCTGCGGGCGTTTCTCACCGGGACCTGGGAACTGGAGGGTCTACCTTCCAGGATTTTTTTTAAAAAAAGAAGAGGACCTGGCTTTCCCCCCTCGAGACCCTGGGAGCGGGAGCAGGCCGGCCTCGGGGAAACTTTTCAGCGCAGCCCGGGCCCGACTGCAGCCGCGGAGGGACGGCCCCCTTTAATCTCCATGCGAGGAAGTTGGATTTCAAAGGTCTCCGAAGACATCCAATTGCATGTGTCATTCTTTGACAAATGCAATCTGTAATTCAGGCAGACAGCGTACAGGACGGCCGCGAAGATGAAAAAAAGGAGAGGGACGGCTCACACCTAAGCATCTGGCGGGGAGCGGCCTCGCTCCGGAGGGAGATGCTGAGGAGGAGGAGGCCCTCGGGGAGGAGAGGGAGAGGGGGACGAAGGACAGACACACAGATATGAGTTTTTCCACTTCGGCGTTATTAGCGGCACTAGGCTCGCGAGTGGTGGTTCCATGATGGCGAACATCTGGATGATAAATGAACCAGAAAAAAAAAAGAGAGAGAGAAAGAAAAAAAAAAAAAAAAAAAGCTGTGAATGATCCAGATGCCTCCCAATACCAGGATGTTTAAACTATCTGGACCAGCGGCTCACTCTCCTTTCCCCTTCCTCCTCACTACGGACATCTTTGCTCTCTTGCGTAACGTGGTGGGAAGACGTGGACCTTGGTGCTGGGTGGGCCGTCGCCCGTGGTTTTACGTCGAACGCGTGGCCGGCCCACGGCGGTGCTGCCATCCTCCCGCCGGCTCAGCAGCGGCAGAGGCGGCGTGGGGACCTGCCCTGCGGGGGCGACACACCATGCAGCACCCACCCACACGCCACACCCATGGGGACCCAGTGGAGGTTCCCATCACACACACAAAGCCCACGGGACGGCTCGTTCCGACGCCAGCCTGTGGGCGAGCGAGGGCTGCTCTCAGCTCGGGAGATGCTGGCGTGGGCTGCGTCCCACGGTTTTTAAAAGGGGAGACTTTGGAGAAGTAGCGTTTTCTAGTGCTCCTTCTTCAAAACGGACTGACTCACCCCCACACGAGAAGATCTCAGATCAGAGAGATCCAGACCTTGATGTGAGTGGCCCAAGGTCAACAGGGCATCCGTGATGGAGCTGACTGGTGTCTGGGCATCTGTTCTCCACAGCCCATGATACCCTGCTTATCTACACTAATAATAGCCTAGGCCAGTGGTTGGCAAACCCACTAGTCCACAGAGCCAAATATCAACAGGACAACGATTCACATTTCTTTGGAGAGCCACATTTTTTAAACTTAAACTTCTAACACCACTTCTTCACAGCAACCTGGCCCAGGCCGTGGTATTTTGTGGAAGAGCCACACTCAAGGGGCCAGAGAGCCGCATGTGGCTCGCGAGTGGCAGTTCGCTGACCACAGGCTCAGGTGGTCCTCACATCATCACAATCCCACAATTCACCACCAGGAGGCTGTGTGAACAGCGGTGCCCCGCACACCACAGAGGCGGGGCCCGGCAGCCCCCTGTGCACAGCCAGGCCTGGGGGTCCCACGGCCCCGTGTGGCACAGAGGAGGAGGGGCCCGGCGGCATGACTCCTGGCTCTGGCCTACCTCTTTGGGGCAATCCATCCATCAAGGAGCCCCGGATGGGTGGGCGGGACCTACCTCTTTGGGATGATTGATCGCGGGATCCCGCACTGTGAGAGAACACAGGCCAGGCTGGGGGACCCCCCCACCACACACACACACACACAAGTGCACCAATTTCATGCACCGGGCCTCTAGGATGCTATTTCCTGATTTCAAACAGATGCTCACCTTTGCCCTCCTTTCTTATTCTTTGGGTTGATACTTAAATAAGTAAGGATGCTCCCTGATAGTAACAGAGCCTCACGGAGCAGCTGTTCTAAGACCGAGACCTCCCCCACCCTTGGCCCAAAAAGGTCAAAATCTTTGTGGATCACATGGGATTTCACAAACCCAGCTCTGAGTGATCCCGGCCACCTATCCTACCAGCCACTCTATCCCACCGGCCACTCTATCTTAACCAGCCACTCTATCCCACCAGCCACTCTCTATCCCACCAGCCACTCTATCCCACCAACCACTCTCTATCCCACTAGCCACTCTCTATCCCACCAGTCTCTCTATCCCACCGGCCATTCTACCTTACCAGCCACTCTACCCCACCTGCCACTCTACCCCACCGGCCACTCTATCCCACCGGCCACTCTACCCTACCGGCCACTCTACCCTACCGGCCACTCTATCCAACTGGCCACTCTACCCCACCGGCCACTCTCTATCCCACCGGCCACTCTACCCTACCGGCCACTCTACCCTACCGGCCACTCTATCCCACTGGCCACTCTATCCCACCTGCCACTCTATCCCACCTGCCACTCTATCCCACCGGCCACTCTATCTTACCGGCCACTCTATCCTACCGGCCACTCTATCCCACCGGCCACTCTACCCCACCGGCCACTCTACCCCACCGGCCACTCTATCCCACCTGCCACTCTATCCCACCTGCCACTCTATCCCACTGGCCACTCTATCCCACCGGCCACTCTACCCCACCGGCCACTCTATCCCACCAGCTACTCCATCCCACCTGCCACTCTCTATCCCACCGGCCACTCTACCCCACCGGCCACTCTATCCCACCGGCCACTCTACCCCACCGGCCACTCTCTATCCTACCGGCCACTCTACCCCACCAGCCACTCTCTATCCCACTGGTCAGTCTATCCCACTGGTCACTCTCTATCCCACCGGCCACTCTACCCTACCGGCCACTCTACCCTACCGGCCACTCTATCCCACTGGCCACTCTATCCCACCTGCCACTCTACCCCACCGGCCACTCTATCCCACCGGCCACTCTACCCCACCGGCCACTCTCTATCCCACCGGCCACTCTACCCTACCGGCCACTCTACCCTACCGGCCACTCTATCCCACTGGCCACTCTATCCCACCAGCCACTCTCTATCCCACCAGCCACTCTATCCCACCGGCCATTCTATCTTACCAGCCACTCTACCCCACCTGCCACTCTACCCCACCAGCCACTCTATCCCACCGGCCACTCTACCCTACCGGCCACTCTACCCTACCGGCCACTCTATCCCACTGGCCACTCTACCCCACCTGCCACTCTACCCCACCGGCCACTCTATCCCACCGGCCACTCTACCCCACCGGCCACTCTTTATCCCACCGGCCACTCTACCCTACCGGCCACTCTACCCTACCGGCCACTCTATCCCACTGGCCACTCTATCCCACCAGCCACTCTCTATCCCACCAGCCACTCTATCCCACCGGCCATTCTATCTTACCAGCCACTCTACCCCACCTGCCACTCTACCCCACCAGCCACTCTATCCCACCGGCCACTCTACCCTACCGGCCACTCTACCCTACCGGCCACTCTATCCCACTGGCCACTCTACCCCACCTGCCACTCTCTATCCCACCGGCCACTCTACCTACCGGCCACTCTACCCTACCGGCCACTCTATCCCACCTGCCACTCTACCCCACCTGCCACTCTACCCCACCTGCCACTCTCTATCCTACCGGCCACTCTACCTCACCAGCCACTCTCTATCCCATCGGCCACTCTATCCCACCGGCCACTCTACCCCACCGGCCACTCTATCCCACCGGCCACTCTCTATCCTACCGGCCACTCTACCTCACCAGCCACTCTCTATCCCACCGGCCACTCTATCCCACCAGCCACTCTCTATCCTACCGGCCACTCTACCTCACCAGCCACTCTCTATCCCACCAGCCAGTCTATCCCACTGGCCACTCTCTATCCCATCGGCCACTCTATCCCACCGGCCACTCTACCCCACCAGCCACTCTATCCCACTTGCTCCAGGACTGACTCCTTCCTCTGCTTCCCAAGTACTTGAATGCCACTCTGTAAATCAGTGAGTGGGGAGAATGACAAGGACCAAGCTCAATGCTTTGGCTCAGAGTGGGGCACACCACCTTGACTTCTTCTTTTTTAGAAAATATATTTTTGCCGAAACCGGTTTGGCTCAGTGATAGAGCGTCGATCTGCGGACTGAAAGGTCCCGGATTCGATTCCGGTCAGGGGCATGTACATTGGTTGCGGGCACATCCCCGGTGGGGGGTGTGCAAGAGGCAGCTGGTCGATGTTTCTCTCTCATCAACGTTTCTGGCTCTCTATCTCTCTCCCTTCCTCTCTGAAAAAAATCAATAAAATATATTTTTAAAAAATAATAAATAAAATAAAATAAAATTACAAATAAAATTTTAAAAAAGAAAAGGGCTTTGAGACTACATATCACTCTGCCCCTAAGAGAAGCCAGGTGTCCTTCCAAACACATCCAAGGCCACGTCCACAGAGCGTGGGGTCTGGGAAATGGACCGGGATGTCAGAGCTGCGACGGGGCCCGCGTGTGCTGGGGGGGGGGGGGGGCGCGCCCACATCTGGCTGAGCGTCACTTTGGCACATGCTGTTCTAATGGAAGGAGTCAGAGTTAACTGATGTCGATTCAGGGGGAAAAGTGCATGAGAGCGGGAGACACACATCTTTCCGCTTAGATCTCGAAGTCTTCCTCAGAGCCCGAGGCACCAGAGGGAGAGAGAGCATAGAGACGAGGGTTCAGGGTGAACATCTCCGAAGGAGCGAGATGCAGTCCACATCTCAGAGAGACAGGGCCACCACAGTGTCCTTCTTTTTTTATAGATTTACATTTACTGATGGATTTCCGAGAGGAAGTGAGAAGGAGAGAGAGAGAGCAATGTCAATGATGAGAGAGAATCACTGGTTGTTTGCCCCCTGCTTGGATCAAGCCCTCAGCCCAGGCATGTGCCTTGGCGGGGAATTGAACCAGGACCCCCTGGTTCATACATGGACGCTCAGCCAGCCACCGAGATGCGCTGGCTGGG